CGGTATGGACCGGTAGACCGGTATGGACCGGTAGACCGGTATGGACCGGTAGACCGGTATGGACCGGTAGACCGGTATGGACCGGTAGACCGGTAGACCGGTCGATCCAAAACCCAGACCGGTACCGGTTCCATCTCTGTCCTGTTCCGTGTTCCATCAAGTGATTTTTTTTGTTCCATCCTAGCTAATCCGATTAATATCTTTACGTCAGAAGTCAATATAATCATTACATTTTTATTCATTGCACACCTGAATACCAGTGTCTAAAATGAAATATTTGTGAGAGAAACTGAGAACGTAAAGTGTGACCCGTGCGTGCAACATCTATCCAAGTAAATGCTTTTTGTTGCGATGAATGCCTATGGATCAAGAATCTTGGGTCAAAAGTAACCATTGCACAAAAGGTTTGACTTAGCTCATCCCATGCTTTTGCTTTTCAAAATATTCGGCCTATAGGTTGAGCTGGACTGGTTTCATCCCATCTCATCCGAGTATTTGTTTTGAGAATCAACTGTTGAAGAAGCAATTGAGAAACATGCTAAATTTACCATTCTTCATGATCAATCTGCTCTATTTGATCGATTTATTATAGTTTATAAATTATTTCTTTTTGTACTTTATAGATTATAAAACTATTCGGTTCTCAAAAGAATGCTAGTGTTGCTATTTTTCGTTACTCGAGTAGCTGTCATATATGCGACGATCAACTACAAATTAACATCTATTTATTATGGAAATCAAGGTTGGTCTATGGATGAAATTGAATATTTTTCGTCGTGGACTAGTCAACGACCAACAGTAATCGTTCTTTTTACTGAGTGGTGTAACGGTTCAATGATTGATTTGTTCAATACTCAACTAAACAATATATGGAATAACCATAGTATTCCACTAATTACATGGGAACCATTCGAGTGTGGTGGAGCCAGTCAACCAGGAATCATGAAATTAGTTCGTAACAATGTCTATGATACATATATAAACCAATTTGGAAATAGACTACAAACATGGTTGGCTGGCAATGATGGGATTCTAGGAAATACGGATGATCGCCGCGTATATCTTCGACTAGGTGAGAAATTAGGAGTCAAAAGCATGTTTCAATAGTAAATGTGTTCTTTTCATGATGCAGATTAGTCATCGTATTCCTACTGAAATCCAAAAGGAACTCAAAGCCTTATTCGAGAAACATTATGCCTGTTAAATTCTGCTCTAAAATAATATCTATTCAAAGTTTATTACCCTTCTGCATTTTCAAAATATTCATCTTTATAAAGGATCCCTGTAGGATAAGATGGATAATCTACCGCTCTTCAAAACATTTTAAAAACTATGTACCTAGAAAGCCCATATTATTTTACACATTTTTGTCAATTTGATTTTATCTTTATATTGTGAAATGGTAGACATTAGAGGTAGAGATGTTAGTCGTCGATTTGGTTTCCACGAGTCTTCATCATTGACAGAACGGATCTTGAAATTCTCGCATATCACTGATTTTCGGCCTACAGCAGCTGTTCTAGAACTTCACATCAAGTCTCAATGCATTAAAGATATTCTGCTATTCTACTTGGTTCAAGAATACAAGGATTCGATAGATTGGTTTCGGTATCGGAAAAAAATTTCGTGCAGTCGCTGCCAGTCAATCTATCGACTAACACCTCTGATTACGGGACATTTTATTTACCGATAGGAGGCGCACTGTTACCCATCGGTGTCATATGTAATATGCTTTTTTTCGCTCATTTGTATCACAAATAAGCGAACAAAGTTTCTTTAGATATCTGGCACAAACAATACTTTTTCTCATCCTCGTCACATGACATCAGAGGTGCTATTTACTGAGGAAAAGAATATATCAGCCGGAACTAATACCTAGCCTTGAAATATCATGCTTTTATTTTCTTTCTATTGACGATTCTGAAAATGATGCTTATAATGAAATCAATACATTGTCTATATTTAGCTCATGAAATGAACGGAAATTGGTATCCATGGTCAGCAGCAGTGGGTAATTCAACTCCGCAAGATTATATTTTAGCATGGCATCATATTCATGATATATTTTCAAACAAAAGTTTAGATTCAACAAGGCTCCAATGGATTTGGTGTGTTAATAATGCGGATGTTGGCAATTATACAGCTGAAGATTATTGGGTTGGCGATAGTTATGTTGATTGGATAGGAGTTGATGGATATAACTGGGGTGCAACTCAAAGTTGGAGTACATGGTTGTCGCCTAATCAAATTTTTTCTGATATGATTAGCCGTGTACGTCTTTTATCGTCAACAAAACCATTATGTATAAGTGAATATGGAACAACAAGTAAACGAATAGGAAATGTTTCGGATACACAATCGAAAAATGATTGGTTAAATGAATTTTGTGCTTATATGAATAATACTCAAATTCAAATGGCGCCTTATTTCAATACAGACAAAGAAACAGATTGGGCTATATTTGGTGGTATGAACGGAAATACTATGTGGACTAATTTTAGTGCATATACAGCATATAAAGATTGTTTACAGTCCAACGATTGGGTATTACCAGATAGCACTAATCAAAGAATTATTACTGATGAACAGTTCGCTGGCATAGGTAAGATATAGTTTTGATCGAAAGTGTCCGAAACACTGGTTATCGAGTTCCTGATGCTCCTGTAGGCTGAACGTTTGCAAAAATACCTTTCTCGTTGAGTTCTGATCATCGGTTTAAAGTGCACTTCGAATGTATTTGTATCTCACGATATCCAGAATTATACCTGATATTACTTTCGATTGCCGATTCCTCATAAGAACTAGAGGACTTTTAGTTGTTTTAACCATCAACTTGCAGCCAGTCTTCACTTTCTTTGGGATCGGAAGCTACCCTTCTAAACAGTATACTCCCTCTTCAGTACGATTTGTTTTTCATAGATTTCAAATGAAATGACTATTCTTCTTCGTTACCAAATACTATTCATTTAAATATCATACCGATTATTATAATAACGAAACGATCAAAAAACGAAAAACGATGCATATTCCTTCCCCTCCCCCCCAAAAAAAAGAAACATCAAGAAGTCATGATTTTTCTTAAAAAGAAAAAAGCTGTTAGAGCAATCTCTGCAGGATGAAAATACGAAACATGATTTATCTGTTGTTACTAGCTGCACGAAAATAGTTTTCTTTGATATATCTTGGGATCCATCCATTCATCATATTTTACTTTCTTCTTCAGAGCTGCAACAAAGAAGTAGTTGATCCATTCTCATGAGATACTCATAGCATATATAATCGAAAATTGTGTCTCAAAAGCTCTGACTGAAGTCCGTGATGGGTATAAGGTTTCTGTATCATGATCTGTGAGGTGAAGAGAGGGGGTGGGTGCAAATTTCTACTCTATATACTTCAATACTCGTTTCAGATCTGGTCTTGCAAAAATGACTCCAATTTTTAGTCTACATCAAGTTCGAGCCGAAATGATACAAAAACAGCGAATTTTTGTTGATTTTTTACATCATTTTAGGGGTCGTTTCTAACTTCATCCCTTTAAGATTTGGAGTATAGTTGAAAAATGTGGAAAACTTGAAGTATCGTGAAAACTGCAGTCGATGTTAACCAATCAAAACTTAAATAATTTTTTCTCATCGTAAATAAATTGCTGATCTCCATTCTGTTGGACTAATTAAATACAGTTATATAAAAAGACATGTTTTTATATGAAGCAGTAGACTGAAAACAAGTGTACGTTTCGTGCTTGTTTTTCAAACGAAACACATCCAACGAAAATGATCTCGTCGCAAAATGCTATTTTGTGATCGAATTTCATCAAGACAAATGCCTGGCCCTGTCATCCTGTCCTTTTTCTCTACAAGGTGGCAAAGAATAGAACGGAAAAAGATAAAGTTTCATTCTACCCGGATGACAGTATCCGAGTTTTATTATGAATGCCATTGTCTTTAAAACAAGTTCTCGGGTAACTCAAGAAGTTTTTGAAATTCCATAGAATCTGTTTCGGTATTTCTATGAGTTTTATGAATATTCATACTAATCTATCAATCTTTTCAATGTTCAAAGCTTTCGAAATTCACTTGAAGGTTCTAGAGTTCCGCGACATACTTTGATGTCTAAAGGAAATTCCTATTAGTTTCACAATAATATATTGCTTTTGTTAAAAGTTTTTCCAATGACGCTACAAAATACGTATAAGTGGTGCCAAAATATTCAAAAATTTGTCAATAAGCCGTTTTCATCAATTGTAATAAAAAGCTTTGTTAAACTATTTTCTGACTCTTGTATATATTTGAAACGAATAAAACTGTAGTTTTTCTTACTTTTTTCAATCAATCGGAAATATTTTCGAACTGAAACATATTTCTATTTTTATGTCACTGTGTGGGATCGAAACAATTAATTTCGTGACTATGTGTGACTGTGGATAGCGTCACAGTCACTCACAGTCATGTACACTTGAATGATGAGTGGCTTTGAGCAAAGAGAGTTTACAAATCGTGTGCAGGATTTTCTAACGCAAGAAACGCATCGAATTGATCAATAATGACTTTTATACTTGTAGGCACGACGTTACTCTTTTGTAATTTTTGACATCCGCAAGATGTGTATCATAACTTTTCTCGGTTTAGTCTATTATGATAGTTGCAGATGGCTGCAACACGGTTCTCTTAACAATTCAAATCGATAAGGCTGGTAAAAGTTGACAGTTGCATGAAGATCATACAGAAGACGGTAGAACGAGATTAGCGACATTGTATCAGCATTTTTCATTAGCCCTCATCATTCTCAAGAACATAGGATTTTTAGATATCCTGATTTCTGCCTCTTAGTACTGATAATTTGCTAATGGAAAAAAAAATCATTTTTATTCTTTCACTCATAGTACTGAATTGTTGATTTTAGGTAATACGACAATAATAACAACATCAGCTAGTTCTACATTAAGTGCTACAACTAACATTACCTCAAATGTCTCAATCAGTGAGAGAAATAATTTTTTAATTCTTGTTTTATATCTTAATTAACAATAACTCATAGCCTCCACAACTAGCAACGCTACATCCAATTCAAACTCGACTACTTCGATGACAAGTAAGATATCATTCTCAAACAGTAACTGAAAGTGAAATTTGTCGCGTATGAATCAGTAAACAGAAACCACTATCTATCATATGTAATAAAGCTTTTGAAATCAATTGCATTTTTTGACGAAAAAATTAGAGCACTTGTTGGAAGGTGATTCGTCGTGCGAAATAGAAATTCCAGGAAAATGGCTCTAACACGGCAGAGACTGGCCAGCAGCACACATGCTTTTAAAATTTTTTCTAGGCGCACTGTGACTTAGTTATGGACAAAGTACCAACTCAAAACTCGATAATCATCTGAATATGTTCCCTCGAGAGTTGAAGCTTGCTTGAGCTATCCTGATAGGAGAAGGTTCGAATCTAAAAGAGAAACAAGAAGCAAGTAAGTTAGGTGAAGAAAAACAACGGATCGCATTGTCGTACTAACCAAAAGAGAGAAAATCCTTTCCGAAGATCATTAAGACTCATTTTATTATGATTGAACAGTAAGTTGAGTGAATGAATTCAATCTTGAAGGACTAGAATCCTTTGTTCATTTTTCTTTTTTCATCCATCACCACTTTTATCAGAGACAAAAGATCATATGAGCTCGAACCATTGAAAATCTCGGTTAGTCTTATCGAGGTCTACAGTCACTAACCATGCAGAATCACGACTTGCGAGACAATCAACACGGTTTTTTTGTAGAATTCATATAATAGCAAGTTTATTGATTAATTTGTTTCATTGATTTTAGCAAACAACACAACGACAACAACCAATGCAACCGGACCTAATTCAGGTAACATCAGAAGAAAGACTCTGTAGTTTAGAACTAAAACGAATTATATTCATATTTTACTAATAAGAATACACATAAAAATAAAATGTTTCACTTCACCAAAGTGACGCAAGCCTATATAAACCCAAATACAAATTGTAGAAATAAACAGTTGCCTTGATTATGAAATCAAAAATGTTATTATTTTTCTAATAACTACTATAATGAAGTGTTTTTCCTTCTATAGTATTATCTCAAGAAAGATTTTAAAAACTTTTCCTATACCAAAACACACTGTTTTAAGACTCATGACTGTCGGTGCTAGAAGAATTCTCAAATATAATGATGGAACGAAAAATTTGTGCATATAATCGCCTTGAGAAGACTTGCAATACTGATATATATGCCATCCTATTGAGGATTCGAAAATGGACACACGCACATGATCAAGATGGAAGGATAATGTTTTCGATCAACAGCACGAATACCATGTTACTAAGATAGTGAGAGTCTTGTTGAAATCAACAATGGACTCAAAGTACTACTTATAAATGCATAAACCAGTTGAATGTGTGATAGTCCGATGTTATGACTCACATGAGACAAACAGTAAGATGAAATACAACAGAACAGAAAAAAAATAATCCTCTTGAGAAACGCAATCCGTGTACTTTGTACTTTCCGAGTAAATGTCCTAAGCCAGTTAGACTAAAAGTTACATCTAATCTTCGTGTAGCGTCGAATTAGATTCATTCCAGCGCTAACAGAATGTTACTTGAGTACTTATTTTTTGTAAAAAGGAATGATTACTGTGTTTTCTTGCTCTGCCATGTTCTGTTATGTCCTGCAGCGTACTCTATCTGTTAGCAGCGTTGACCACGATATCTAATTTAATTAGGCCAAATATTCCATAATTTTGTGCATTAAGACTCTTCTTCAAAAAAAAGTCGATTTTTGTCAAAAAACCACCGCCTTGACCAGAGAAGGTGCTTCCTATATGGATTTGTGACGTCAAATGTTCTGAATTCAACTCTAAAAAATTACCGACTGAGACTATTTCAGTAAAGATTTAGAATCAAAGTATTTGAGACATGCGCATAACAGTGTACCCTTTTTCTAAAACATTTTCTTTTCACTTTTGTTATTGAGCAAAATGAATGTCATATTTGAAATCATCATAAAAAACTGAGTCAAATGCGATAAAATTCAGCATGTTTTTTTCGATTAAAAATCACTTCATAAGTACTACAAGTAAAATTTGACTCGTGGTTCCCTGAGGTGAATGTTTGATCGAAAAAAACTCTTGTTGAATTTTATCTTGTTCGACTCAGTTGTTTTATGCTAATTGCAAATATGGCATTCAATTTGCTTAATAATAAAAGTGAAAAGAATATTCTTTAGAGAAACAGTGTATTACTATGCACATATCTCAATTACTTTGATTCTAACTCTTTATCGAAACAACCGTAGTCAATAATTTTTTAGATTTGAAATCAGGGCACTTGACTTCACAAACTCATATAGTTTTCGTTGATATTCTCGGATAATATACAGAGAGCTTTCCTCGTGAGACAAATGGATAGTTGGATACTCTGGAGCGTGGGTTCGACCACACGTCTACAACAGCATACTATCACATATGAAATAAAGTCAAATATTTCTTTTTTGTTTGAAAGCTAACATTTAAGCCTAGCGATCCTCATAGCCTTTTTTTCAAAAAAGGTCCTTGGAAAAGAAAAAAATGTTTTCCTTCGATGAAAAATGGTCATTAAAAATCGATAATATTCAAACTTTAAGTATAGCAAAATGCTCAGTTTTTTCACACTCTTACTTTTGATGTACAATGCATCTAAAGTTAATTCAGTTTAAAGCAGTGAATAGCTCGTTTTTTTTCGTCATTTTTCAGATCTTTTCATTGTACTGACATTTAGATGCTGAAGATGAACTCAAAGAACGAACATTTTTTAGAGATGGATAGAGTATGAAATTCTCTACCTAAATATGTGTATGTCATTTCTTTTGGAGTAAATCTTTTGATTAGGAAACGCGAAATATCGAAAAGCAAGAAAACCGAGTTTCGTTTGAAAAGACTATTTTAATTCTTGAAAATCTGTATAAGCAGATAGACTCCACATAGTACATATAGTAGCCGATCACTCATACTGTGTATATCGCCACTTGAAAATTTAACATGTTAAGCCGCTTACTACATTTTACAGTGTGGAATTGCACTATTATGTCATCCGAATTTCGAATGAATTTTAAAGCTGAAATTAAATCTTTCGAGATAAAGCGCAGATTTTACATTTCTGCCTAGACAATACTGATTTCATGCGATACGTCTTTATTGGAACTGGTATTGTTGTTGGCTTTTTGGCTGCTTTTTCTGTTATATGGGCAATTTGTTATTGTTGTTGTTGTTGTTGTTACCGGTAAGTATGATAAATTGAATCAGATTTCTACTGATATTCCAATTTGTTCTTTTCTTATAATAGAGAAGTATATTTCCTGACTCCGACGAAGAAATCAAAGATCTATCCAGAATCACCTGAATCTGCTCATGGTTTAAAAACGAATACACGCATGTTTCTCAAATAACTTGACTGTCAATTTATGATTATCATATTCAAGGACATTCGTACATCGTCGTACTCTTCATGACTCACCTAACTTTTCCTTTTACATACCAAAACTATTCTATTCACAGTCTCTCAAGAACTTATTGGAACACTTTCATTTAATCATAAACATAAGCCAATTATAATAGAGAGGACTAAGTCTGATTTCGATTCTAATCTCACCCAGAGATAGCTATTCTTGAGCTCTACAGATAGTGCGAAAATTACGGTCAAGAGGGTGTGGATGGATGTGGGTGTGTTGGTGTCGGTGGATGAGATATGTGGACCTTTTATTCACTTACACTCAAATTGACATTCACACCTCTAAAAGAATATCATTTCTTAGTTTTTTGCTTCATCTAAAACGAAATTCGCCTTTGCTCATTGTCAGCTAAATTTCAATTTGGTTTGTGGCGTGCATATCTAGGGTATGGGCGTGTCTTTGGACGATTCGACAAAATACCACAGCCACAGCCACACACCCATTCAAAATCGCCTGGAGTCTGCTCATCTATAAACGACATGATTTGTTATTTGATATATCTTTTCTTCAAAAATGTCAATGATTTCCGTCGTTTTCTGCTTGATTAATACGTTTTTAAACCGAAAAAGTGAGATATTGTCTGTTGCTATTTCTTTATTAATGTTGTTTTTATCGTAAGACTCAAAATTCTCTGTGTTTCACTATTAGATACATTTTATTTTATTTGAAAGAGCACATGACTATACAGCACATGACCAAGTTTTTTTGTTCTGAACTAAGCATTACTTGTATTGCATGAAACAGCACTTCCATAAGTAGAGTGCATTTTTCTGAACTACTCCACACATTGAACTTCTATGCCATATCTCTAGCTAAAAAGTAAGAAAAAAAAGCACTGTCATACCCTTCCTCCTAACATGCTGTTTCAAATCAAACATTAAGTAGATAGAATGAAAGCCGATAGAGACTTTAGGATTGCCAAATGAACTATTTTTGACTCTTGGTTCTTCGAAACCTATCGAAACCGTCATGATATAAAGTTGAAAGTTACAGCATAGCTCTCTCATTACGTCACCAACATATTCTGAAAATTTGATGCAATTTGAATATCTCTGGCTTAAGATCAATTTTTGATGGATATACGTGTTCAGATTTTTAAAAAACATAAATTTTCCAGTTTATGAAAACTTCAGAAATAGCAAAAGAATTTATTAAACAATAAGATAAATTTATAAGAATCTTCAAAAATCTCGCAATATTTATCGAAATTTCTCACGAAAGCTAAGGTAAGTTATTTGCGAGTGAATTATGAAATTACTAAGCTAGTGAGAAGCCGTATTCACATAATTTCTATAATTATGACCTTTCAAAAAGGAAATTTTGAGCTATTTTCAGAAAGAAAACAAAAAAAATGAGCTAGCGACTCGTCTTAATAATTGAGCGTATTGATATGGTAATAGTATAAATAGTATCAAACAAGTTCTGTATGTCCTGCAATTTTCTTCTTTTTCTAGAGTGCCCTGTTATTGATACTATGTGGAAATCGTACAGTAGTATCCTAGAAGCTTCCAAATTTACATAGACATCTTCTTTTTTTATAGAAGTAATCATTGAGATATCTTAGAAATTTGCTTCTCTTATCTGGATAACTTTATTAAATTTTCGCCAAACTGCGGTATTTTTGAAAAGATGTTTTTACTTCTCCAATTGAAAGTATATTAACTAGGGAATTCTTCTGTTGATGCAATTTTCTGTGGTAGCAGTTTTTGACATACGATTACTTCAGAGAAAAATATCCTTTTTTTCTCTGGTCGTAAGCTCTTGATTTGTTTCATTTGTTTAACAATCATTATCGAAGTAGCTCTAATCTTATCGAGAGCGAATCACGAATAGTTTGAGAATCATATCTGTAGCACATTTATTTTCTTCGAAACAGGAAAAACAATCATGTATGTGAATAAAGGGAATCTTGAGATTGAATCATAATTAAATAGTTTAAATAAAATAATACCAATATGTAGCAATTATACATAGTTCTAGTTTTATGTTAATAAAAAAAGATTTTGTAATTGTTTTTCTTTCCCGTTGAAAAAATTAAAGCAATTTATTTTCAGATTCTGCATATTTTCATTGATGTATTCATTAATCTGTTCAATAATAATCATAGTTTTCTTCAAATATTTGAATGAAAAAAATTTTGCAAAATATTTTACTACACAAATCTAAAGAGTACCATTCGAAAGAATGCATCAAGATATTTTCGTATTGTTTATGTACAGGTAAATATTTATCGGTGTTGAATAGTACAAAAGAAAAATGTTGATATATTTTGAACGAAAAACGAGTTGATGTATGATAATACTCTTTACATCGTCGATATTAATAATAATCGAATTGTTATAATCGGAACTAACTCAACTACAGCTATAGCTATCATTCAAAATGGATCTGACTCAAGTTCGATATTTAGTTATCCTACTGATGTATTTGTCACTCAAAAATATATCTATAGTTTAGATATGCTCAATAATCATGTGGTAAGATTGTTTAAAAATAAAACAAATCCAGTTACTATCGTCGGAATCGATGGTGTATCTGAAGACAACCTAAATACATCAACAATCGATCTTGGTGTCTATTTGCTTGTCGACAATGATGAAAATTTGTATGTTAGTGATTCTAGTAATGACATTGTAATCCGTTATCCATCCAACACAACGAGTAGTATTCCTGGTTTGATAGATTGGAATATGGAAACAGCCGAATTCTGGTGAGTGTATTGTAGCTTGTATTAGTTCCAGCTGAGATAGAATTGATATGATGTATGAATCGGTTGCATTGACATTTAATAGCTATGGATCTGTCTTCGCTAGCAATGGATACAACAATCGAGCACAAAAATTTCAGATATCTGATAGTTTTGATGAGTAAGAAATTTTCAATAATTGTAATTAGTTTATTGCTTCTCTATTAAAATTACTTTAAGTCAAAATTCAACGACAACAGTTGCAATATCGATCACTGCATTCGTAATGTTTTTTCGTCCAAAGATATTTCATAAGAGTGTCAATCATTTATCCAATAATTTTCTAGATTTCGTTCTTGAACAATTGGAACTTGAGTGATCTTATCCTCTACTTCAGAACTACACAATGAATTATAAAATGAACATATGGCTTGTTTCGTTGATGTTGACAATCGTTCTTTCTTTCTTTCTTGTCACTTTTATATAACTGTGTCAATGTCAAAAACATGTTTTCTATATAGCTGAATTAATGAAACAATATTTTATAACTCAAATTCTCGCTTTATTTTTATGCTTCACTTAAATGTTTTCTAACATCACAAACTTTTCTTTATTGAAATTGGACAACGATGTATATAACGAGTGCACTAGCTCTTCAATGCTGATATAAAGATTGTTTAGAAAACCGGGATTATAAAAAAACCTACATATGAAGATTTATGGGAGTTAATCGAAATCAATATTGTCGATTATCTATAATCAAGTAGCTTTTGGCGAGAAAGCGATCGATCAGTTGAAAACATTCCTCCGATAATATTACTACATCAAAGAACGTTATGTCTAGATGTCAGACATAGTCAATCATATTTGAAAATTAACTTTGTACAGGATTGGTCTTTGTGGCCAATGAATGATTATTTAACTATATTGTACGTACTTGCTTAATATCAGTTTTTACTATGTCATTTACTAGTTTTGAAATTATTTGTAGAAATGATTGACTATCGAACATATCCACGTATAACTGGTTCTCTTCGTGCACATTCTAATATTGCTGAACGATTACATTATCGAGGTGATATTGATGAATTACAACGACGTCGACAACAAATATCAAACATAGATTCAACAATAACATTAACATGGAATGACCTTCAACAATTATTTTTAAAACATAGTTTAAATTCAACAGTTGAATCACACATTAAACAATTACGAAAATATGCTATTGAACTTGGTTAGTTGTATATATTCTTTTTCTTTTCTTTTTATAAAATAAAAAAAAGAAATTTTATTTTATTTTATTTTTCTTTCTATTGAAATCCAGCTGGTTCAGAATCAGATTCATCATCAATTGATTCTGTTTGTATTTATCTCTTTGATCTATTTCGTACTGTTAATCAAATTCAAGTATCACATTTAAAAGAATTAAAATTAAGATTTCCAACTTATACTCAACAATTAGTAACACAAATATTTGAATTAATACGTACATTAATAAATTCTCTTAAACCAAGTTTTACTGAAGAATATTTATTACGTACTACATCGAAATTATCATCATCAAAATCATTATTTGGTGAAGCAACTGTCTTTCATCCTATTTCATTACAAATAAATGAACCAATACCATGGTTAAATCGTTTATCTTATGATATAGCATATCAAGAACAAGAAAATATTAATAATGAAGAAATAACTAATGAAATTTTACCTATTATTACATCTTCAACAACAACAACAACATCATCATCGATTTATACTAAAAAATGGCTTGAAGATCGTTTACGTACTGTTTTAAAATCTCGTAATGATAAAGGTGATTTAGGACAACAAGAATTTTGTAATTTAGTTTTTGAAAATCTTGTTTCAAGTCAAACCGATGATGAAATTCAACATTCCTTATGTGATATAATTGGTTATGATCATTTAGAATTAATTAGTGAATTAATACAAAATCGTCAAATGATAATTGATGGAATTTTAAATAGTGCTAAAGCTCGTCCACGTGAAATTATTCGAGCACCAGAACTTATTCAACGTCAAACACAACCAATTCATGGTCCAACTATTATTGTACAAAGTGAACAAGAAAAACGTTTAGAAAAACAATTTAGAAAACAAGATCGAAAACAACAACAACAACAACAGCAACAACAATCAAATGATTTTATTGATGAATTTTCTAATCCAGAATTATTAAGATATGAACGTGAACGACAATTACTTTTAGCAACAGAAAAACTTCATGAAAAATTATCAAATTTATCTCAATCAAATTCATTACAAACAAATATGAAATATCCATATGTATTTGATCAATTACAAGAAATCAAACAAAAAACAGCATATATTGGTGGAAGAAATCTTCTTTTACCAGAAAATATTGAACGAAAATCAACAACAACTTATGATCTTGTTCATATTCCATATGGTGAACAAATTAAATTAGCTAATTTAGGAAAACATATTTGTTCTGAACTTGTTCGTTATGAAGATTTAGAACCATTAGGACAAATTCTATTTAAAGATAGTGTTAAAACACTTAATTTAGTTCAATCAATTGTATACAAAACAGCAGCTTTTTCAAATGAAAATATTCTTATTTCTGCTCCGTATGTATCTAATTGAAATGCAAACAGAGCGGATCATCTAGGAATAGGATAGAGTGTGCATCTGGATGAAGATAAGACCAACGCCAATATCCACATCATCGTAGGATCTTTACTCACGAGGAAAGTCCTGCATTGGATAAATCACTTTTTTTTTGGAGTTGAAACTATGTGAATTATGTATACTCAGATGAGCTACAAATATTCTAAAAACAAGTTCGTGTCGTGGCTTATTGCTGCGAAGATTACTGCACATGTACGATATTTCTTAAATGAATCTCATGATAACAGAAAAAACTAATTTTCGAAATGCAACATTGCACAGAGATAGGTCTTAATCGGAATAGAGTTTTTTTTTTTTGAAAGTTGTAGTCCTTGTTGTTGTTCTTACCCTAAGATACAAATGTTCTCATTTCAAGACAGAAGTAAATCAAAAGATCTAAAACTTTCAATAAGTCTAAAACACGAACTCTTTTGAAAGGTATTTATAACTCATTTGGATCATCTACATAATGTAAATAGTCTAGATTGAAAATCGTTTTATCAATTAGAAGATTTCTCGCATCATCTAAAGTTCTGTGATCTAAACAGTAGAATTTCATATATATATTCACTTTTTGTTTCTAAATATACGGAATAAATACTATATTTGACTTCCATATTAACTTTGTCCACATTTTATGACAAAAATATTACAAAAAAAACTTTGTAAACAACGAAAATCTATCTTATAGAATAGAAATTAAATACTTGGTCAAATATACATATATAAATTTGATATTTTTTCTTTTTAAAGAACTGGTGCTGGTAAAACAAATATTGCTATGTTAACAATACTTTATGAATTACGTCGTCATTATGATACAAATAATGGTGTTTTATTAGATACAGATTTTAAAATTATTTATGTTGCACCTATGAAAGCACTTGCATCAGAAATGGTTGAAAATTTTTCTCGTCGTCTTTCATCACTTGGTCTTCAAGTTAAAGAATTAACTGGTGATATGCAATTAACTAAAACTGAAATTGAACGTACACATATGATAATAACAACACCAGAAAAATGGGATGTTATTACACGTAAATCAACAGGTGATACAAAATTTGTTCAAAGTGTTAAATTATTAATTATTGATGAAATTCATTTATTACATGAAGATCGTGGTCCTGTTATTGAAGCACTTGTTGCACGTACATTACGACAAGTTGAACAAACACAAGAATCTATTCGTATTGTTGGTTTATCAGCAACATTACCAAATTATACAGATATAGCTCGATTTCTTTTTGTTAATTTAATGACTGGTCTATTCTTTTTTGATAATCGTTTTCGTCCTGTACCATTAGCACAAACATTTATTGGAATAAAAGGAGCAAATAAAATGACAGCAACAAAAAATTTTGATGATATTTGTTATGATAAAGTATTAGAACAAATTAAAGTTGGACGACAACAGGTTAGAACAATTTTCATTCTATGCAATTAATAAGAAATTTTAAATTAAAAAACAAGACAGAAAAATGTAAATCTAAGATTATCAATGTCATTCGTAATAATTACATATATACAAGGTGGTCCAAAAGTAACATAGCAGGAACTCCTTTTCAACTTTGTTTTCTTTATAGATTCATAGTTCGATATCGTATTTGCACTACATACACTAGGTGACAATACCCGAAGAAAGAGTCTATCAGCCTCTGTTTTTATGAATTTGTTGAAAAGCATGCAAATATCTTGCGTAGTCTCTCATATGCCTGTCACATAAGTTTGCTGTTGCCCGATTGAAATAATGTCGCTTTTCATTATATCTCATTTTTGAGTAGTTAACAAGTCTGAAATAATGTAAAAATACATAGAATTGAAATCATCCTGTATATTTTAATATTAACAAACCAGAAGGAGCAGTCATCCTATTCCGAAATGTTGAACATTGTGGAACCAGTTCCATCCAATTCCGGGAACTCGATCGTCATTGCCAACAACAAACCTACTAGTCACTGACCGAGTTCCGTCAATTCCCTGGGTTCTCGAAACTTAGTCCAGACGGAATTACTCGAAATTCCCAGTAATTCCGGAACCGGAAGTAATTCCTACGAATTCCGTGTGATTCCCTCTCGACTCAATTCCCGGAATTCCGTACCGAAATTACTTACTTATGCAAGAGGATAATCTTCAGTCACAACACCATGCGTGATGGCGAAGACGGGAAGTAATTCCTCTACGGAATTCTGGGAATTGAGTCGAGACGGAATTACACGGAATTCGACGGAATTCCCGGGAATTCCGTCCGATTCCGGAATTCCGGGAATTGAGTGGAGATGCAATCCCCACGAATTCCGGAATTGGAATCAATTCCCGGAATTCCGGAATCGGATGGAATTCCCGGGAATTCCATCCGATTCTGGAATTGCTGCGAATTCGGGGTAACTTCGTCTGAACTTAGTTCTGGGAATTCCGGGAATTTTATGGAACTCGGTCAGTGACGAGTCGATCTGTTATATTGAATGATGATCGAGTTCCCGAAATTGGATGAAACTGGTTCCGGGGACGGAGCTGATTCCCGCAATGTTCAACATCGCGGAATAGGATGTATTCTCACCAGAAGATAGAAACACAACATTACAAGAATACTACAAACTTATGTGAAAGTAACACAAGAGCGCCTTTGAGACGTTCATATGTTTATTCACATGAATTTTTAGTTAGAGACTGATAAAATGGTCTTTCTCTGAGTATTGTCATCTAGTGTACGTGGTCCAAATATAAGATCGAACTATGGATCTATAAAGATAACAAAGTTGAAAAGAAGTTCTTGTTAGGTTACTTTTGAGGCATCATATAGTTATTGAATTGTATACTGTTTATTTCATATTTTATATAAGTAAAAGCTTTTGACTGTTTTATTATGGAATACTTCTGTCATCTATTCTTTAGTAGAATAAATTCCTTAGATTTTCACTCCTATGCCTTTATATATTACATTAGATGTTTGAAAGAGTAACATTAATTTATTCCTCAATTATAAGTCCTACAAAAAAAAAAGAGGTAAATTGAAAATTCTGATTCCAACTCAATGTTTTCAAATTTCTACATTCTGAAAATTAAATGAATATTTTGTCTTGTTTCGACACTAGGAAAATATATTTTAATTTTCTATTTAGGTACTTGTCTTTGTTCATGCTCGTAATGCAACCGTTCGTACAGGACTTCAATTACTTGAATATGCACGTAATCGTGGTGATCTTGAACATTTTCTATATAAAGAAAAAGATGAAGATGGTCCACGAGAAACAATTCAATATCAAGAAGCATGTCGACATGTATCTCATTCGAAAAATGCTCAATTACGTGATCTATTTCCACATGGTATTGGTATACATCATGCTGGAATGTTAAGACAAGATCGAAATATAGTTGAAAAATATTTTCTCAAAGGTTATATTAAAGTACTTGTTTGTACAGCAACACTTGCTTGGGGTGTTAATTTACCAGCACATGCTGTTATTATTAAAGGTTCGATTAAAATCTTATCTTTTTATAATTAATTTTAAGATTTTCGTTTTCTTTTTTTTTTTTTTAATTAGGTACTGAATTATATGATAGTAAACGTGGTTCATTTATTGATTTAAGTATTCTTGATGTATTACAAATATTCGGTCGTGCTGGTCGTCCACAATTTGATACAAATGGTCATGGTTTTATTTTAACTACACATGATAAACTTCAACATTATTTATCTTTATTAACTCGACAAAATCCAATTGAATCACAATTTATAAGTCATTTAACTGATAATCTTAATGCAGAAATTGTTCTTGGTACAGTAACAACAATAGAGGAAGCATGTTCATGGCTTCGTTATACTTATTTAAATGTTCGTATGCATCAATCACCAATAACATATGGTATTAATGCAAATATGAAAGCAGCTGATCCAAATTTACATAGTTTTCGACGAGATTTAATTATTAAAGCTGCACAAGAACTTGATAAAGCACATATGATTCGTTTTGAAGAAAAAACTGAATATTTATTTGCTACAGATCTTGGTCGAACTGCGTAAGTTTATAGATAATTATATCATATTGTTCATATGAATTTTTACATTCTTACAAGAAAATCATTCGAATTGATATCCCAACGTTTGAGTTTTAATTGGACACATAGAGCGGTCTCGGTAAGACTAGAAAAAGTCTGAAATGATCCGTTTCGATTGGCTATTAGAGCTAAATTCGAATCGTTTCACTAAATTTTCCAATCAGCTATAGAAACATACCGAAAGACGAAAACTTGTCAGCATAATACAATCTTTATGATGATTGGTACGGTTACTTAAAGAGACAAAATGCTTAATAAAATGAAACATTGTTATCTGAAGAAGAAATTCATATATCCGAAACAAATGATTCTCGGCATCTGTATTTGGATTTTCGATTTTGTAACACAAGAGAAAGATAGACTATTGTATCTTGTCTTGCATCGAAACAGATCATGATCATTCTTGTCATTTGTTAAGAGTATAGACCCTTTTTCCGTGGATAGTTTATACAACATGCGTTATTTGAGAGTTTCATATCTCGAAGAAATTTTGTTCAACACTTGTAAATTTTTTAATGTAAAATAGTCTTGTAGGGTTCTCTATATGTGCACAATTTCAGATCAAAAATCGGAAAAGAACAGCTAAAAAAAGTTCTCTCGTTTTGTAAGTTACATAAATTCATTTTCATTTATTATACATAGAAATATCAACTACAATCTATAGATTTAGTCTTTTCTTTTTTCTCATTATATAATTGAACATATATAAATGCTTATATTTCTTACTTTTAGTTCTCATTATTATATTAATTATATAACAATTGAAACAATAAATGAACGTTTATCAAATCGTTATATGACTGAAGCTGATCTTATTGAACTTGCATCATTAGCTGATGAATTTTCTCAACTTAAAGTTCGAGATGATGAATTAGAAGAACTTGATTCATTATATAATAATCATTGTCATGTACCTGTTAAAGGTGGTGTTGAAAATGTTCATGGAAAAACAAATATTCTTATGCAAGCATATATATCACGTGCACAATTAAATTCATTTTCATTAATATCAGATATGTCATATGTTAATCAAAATGTTGTTCGTTTAATACGTGCTCTATTTGAAATTGTTCTTAAACGTTCATGGGCAATATTATCATCACGTTTACTTCGTGTAGCTAAAATGGTTGAACAACGTATGTGGGATACAATTAATCCATTATGGCAATTTTCACAATATATTAATATTGAAATTTTACAAAAATTAGATGCTAAACAAATGACACCCGAACGTTTATTAGAAATGGATACAAAAGATATTGGTATTATGATACATAATACACGTTTAGGTAAAGAAATTAAAACATATGCATCATATATACCAATATTACATATTGAAACACAATTACAACCAATAACACGTACTGTATTACGTATAAAATTAACAATAACAGCAGCATTTAAATGGTCGGATAAAATTCATGGTACAACAAATCAACAATTTTGGATATGGATTGAAGATCCTGATACAGATAATATATATCATTCAGAATATTTTATTATAACAAAAAAACAAGTTAAATTAGAAGAACCACAAATTATTATTTTTACTATTCCTATTATTGAACCATTAGCTAATCAATATTATGTACGAGCTATTAGTGATAGATGGCTTGGCTCAGATACAACAACTATTATTTCATTTCATAATTTAATTTTACCAGAACGTCATATGCCACATACAGGTAATTTTAAGAGAATAATTATATGAAAGATAATTCAAACATACATCTCGATTATATCCGTATTCTTATAGGATTGTGTTTCACATATGAGGCAAATATTTAATAGTTATTATTTGAGTTTTCTTAACCATAAGTTTTATTGTATAGATTTTTAGATTTGAAAGATTTGATTAATATGTTTTCGAGGTTTTTGATTACGACAAAAATTCTAAAAATTAATTATTTAAGCCTTCGAATATGATTAATACTAGGATGGATTCATCGACGCGTCCTACTTTATAATAGATTAAATCGTTGATTTTCCATTCGTTTTTCTCTCATAATAAAGTGTATTTGTCATGAATGATAATATTTTATATTTGACTTTCAGAGTTAATGAAGAAAGTTCTTCAAAAATCCTATAAATCAATACTATAGTCTTTCCCAGAAGTGTCAGAAAAACTCATTTTTGACTTGATACAGAGACATAAGTCACCAAGAACAAATGATTGTAAAAGTTTCAGATTTTTTGATTTGTTTCTAAATGTGAAATTAGAACATCCGAATCCGAAAAGTTTGGATTCAACAGATATTAACATCGAATCTATCAGTGTATTTAAAAGACAGTTTTTTTACTATTGCCATATCTGAACAATTCATATAAAAATCTGTCTTAATATATAGCTTCAAATCGAATCTACAAGACACTCATAGCTATTCTTCTCAAATTGATTAATTAGTAGGATGACTTAACGCGTGATTTGATATTATTCTTTATAGAATTATTGGATTTGGATCCATTACCAATAACTGCATTAGGTAATCCTGAATATGAAGCTTTATATAATTTTAAACATTTTAATCCAATTCAAACACAATTATTTCATTGTTTATATCATACAAATAATAATACATTACTTGGTTCACCAACAGGTTCAGGTAAAACTGTTGCAGCTGAAATAGCAATGTTTCGTGTTTTTAATAAATATCCTGATATGAAATGTATTTATATTGCACCATTAAAAGCACTTGTACGTGAACGTATACAAGATTGGAAAATACGTTTTGAAGAACGTCTTGGTAAAAAAGTTATTGAATTAACAGGTGATTTTACACCTGATACACGTGCTATACAATTAGCTGATGTTATTGTAACAACACCTGAAAAATGGGATGGTATGAGTCGTTCATGGCAAACACGTTCATATGTTAAACAAGTTTCTTTATTAATTATTGATGAAATTCATATGTTAGGTGAAGATCGTGGTCCTGTACTTGAAGTTATTGTTTCTCGAGCAAATTTTATATCATCACATACAGAACGACCACTTCGTATTATTGGTTTATCAACAGCTGTAGCTAATGCTCGAGATTTAGCTGATTGGTTAGGTATAACAGGTACTATAGGTCTATATAATTTTCGACCAAGTGTTCGACCTGTACCATTAGAAGCACATATACAAGGTTATCCTGGTAAACATTATTGTCCACGTTGTATGTCAATGAATAAACCAGCTTATAAAGCTATACGTACACATTCACCAAATAAACCTGTTTTAATATTTGTTAGTAGTCGAAGACAAACACGTTTAACAGCTGAAGAATTAGCAAAATATTTATTAAATGATGATAATCCAAAACAATGGTTACATATGCCAGAATATGAAATAAATAATTTATTAACACAAATACAAGATAAAAGTCTTCGATTAACATTACCATTTGGTATTGGTATTCATCATGCTGGTTTAAAAGATCGTGATAGACATATTGTTGAAGAATTATTTGTTAATCAAAGAATACAAATATTAGTTGCAACGGTAAAACAAAAGATTTTTGTTGATTGTATATTTGATTTTTATTTATCTATTATAGTCAACATTAGCATGGGGTGTTAATTTTCCAGCACATTTGGTTATTATTAAAGGTAATTATTTTATATAGATGCTTTTAGTTTCAAAATAAGGAATAATATATTGATGATTGATTTTGAATATGTCATTATTGTAATTGCAAATCGTTTTTTAACCGAGACAATATTCATTTGATGAGAATTAGTGAGTAATAGAAAAGTTTAGAATGATCTAGTTTTTCCGAACCTTCATTGGATTTTCAAAGAGAAACTGTTTTATCTCGAAAAATCAACTTTCGATTTCAAACTTTGCATAAATAAAATTTTCAATTAGATTGATTCATTGGATAAATTGTAAATTTTCTTGTATCTTGTATCTTGAGATATTCAATATTTGAAGTTCTCTTATGTGTAAAAGTAAACTTTATTCATATATTTACATTTCTAAAACAACAAAAAAAAAATACTGTATAATTTTTTGTTAAAAAATCTATATAAAATTTCTATATATCAAAAACGAAGATTCAGAAAACCAAAACTACTCTAGACTTAACTCTTCTTTACTAGTATTCATCAAATGAACATAATCTTAATGGAAAACCTACTTGATATCTGAAGAAATTCTCTAAACGTTGATATTTAAATCCTTATCTCATAATTTCTCGGTATATCTCTTGCTGAAAGAGATATTTTCTAAAAAATTCTTCTCTAATTCTATCTATAAATAAAAAAATATCTTTTTCATGATAACTAAATTTATTACTTGCATTAGGTACTGAATATTATGATGGAAAAACTCATCGTTATGTTGATTTTCCTATAACGGATGTATTACAAATGATGGGTCGTGCTGGTCGACCTCAATTTGATGATTCAGGCAAAGCAGTTATTATGGTACATGATGTAAAAAAGAATTTTTATAAAAAATTTCTCTATGAACCATTTCCAGGTAAATTATTTCATTTAAAAGAAAAACAAAAAAAAAATTTTTTACAAACTTATTCTTATTAGTTGAATCAAGTTTACTTAATGTTCTTACTGATCATTTAAATGCTGAAATTGTCAGTGGAACAATATCAACTAAACAAGAAGCACTTGATTATTTAACTTGGACATATTTTTTTCGTCGTTTACTTGTTAATCCAAGTTATTATAATATGGAACCATTATCAAATAATACAAATGAACAAATAACACTTAATACATATTTATCAACTATAATACAAAGTTCATTTAATGAATTAATACGTGCAACATGTATTTTTATCAATGAAGATGATCAACGTACATTACACTCAACTGTTCATGGACGAATAGCATCACATTATTATATATCATATAGAACAATATATATGTTTGCTCAACATGTTACATCAAATACAACATTGGGAGAACTTATTGATTTGATTTCTTGTGCATATGAATATGCTGAAATGCCGGTAACACAAAAAAAAAGAAAAGTTTTTGTATATGATCTAATAGATAAGCTCATAGTAGATTCACGAGTAGATTTTAGTGAGAATAGCAAGTGTGTAAAAGAATTCGCCGTCAGATTATAAACGATTTACTGAATTTTTGAATCTCGTAAGATCGAATAATAGAGTTTTGATCTAAAATTTTACCTATAGACGAGT